CGGTTGTTCTCTCACGACCGCCGACGTCAGCGTAGCTCTGGCTGACTGGGCCGGCGCTACGCCTTCTCCTTCACCAATCTTCGACGACAGCGTAGCTCTGGCCTACTGGACTTGCCCTACGCTATCTCCTGACGCCGACAAGAGCTCTCGCCAGTGGTGCCCCGTCCTCGGACTCCTGCAACCGTGTCAATATATACCTGTCTGGTCCTTACTTCCGTCGTTCGCTGTCCCTGCGCCTCAGTCTCTCCTTCCTCTCTCTCTCTATCTCTTTAGCTTTTAATCCTATCCTTTTTATCTCTTCTCTGCCCCCATTCCTTGTGAACTACTGTTAAGGTGTCCTCCTCCTGAGAGACAGTTACGGGGCTCACTTTTCCATTCTTTTCTCTTATAAACACTTCCCCTAGTCAGCTGCACATGGCGCGTGGGGGCTTGTGAGTCCGTTGTGCGAAGCAGATCTAATGACCCTCAGCGCGCTTTTTTTTTTCTGTTCTCTAAACTTATCCTCCCTATATCTTTTATTTTCAAACCCCATTCTTGTGCTGACCTGCTGAGGTGTCCTCGAAAGGAGGAACAGTTACGGGTCAGCACTTTTCTCTCCTTTTTTTCGGTTATAACCACTTATATCCTCTCCTTAGTCCTACAAATTTGCACACGACATGCACTTCACCACACTTGGTCTTCTGGTGGACAAACGACATGATTTGAGGACTATCATGGACGTTACTCCCCCTGCATTTTTTCTTAGATAGTAGAAGGTAAAAGTAAAAAAGAGAGAGAAAACAAAACAAAAAGAAATGGGGCAGCTTGGAAATCAGCTCAACAAGGCCTGCAACAGCGAACCTTGTCGATCTAAATTTTTAAGAACTTAGTATGTGTTATCTTTCGTGGTGTTTCATGCGTTTTTACCCGGTGTTGCAAGCTGCGACTAAGGCATCTTAGTCGCCGTTTTTGCCACAGCTTCCCTGGCCAACGAGGCTAGATCAACTTGACAGTGAGGGATACACTATCACTCCACTTTGCAACAATCCTGGCGTCGGGGTGCCTGTTTTTTTTTTTGTTGTGTTGTAGAAATCGCCTCTTGTTTGGTTGTAGAAACCGGTGTCACTTGGGCATTTCGAAGGCCACTGAACAGGTGGTCTATCTACTCCACTGACAAGGATGAGAAGCCACACGGGTGGTTTGGAAGGACATCGAATCAATTGTCCATCGAGTTGACGGAGCACCCGACGTCTCCACTGAAACTTCGAGGGCTATTGAGCGACGGAAACGGAAACAGAGCAAACGCGCATTCTTATTCCCAGTCTGCTCGCATGTGGGCGTTATAAATTATCTAATGAAATATTTGTGCCATTTGGAATGTAGGAAGAGCTCATAATCTCGAAAACAGCAACATGCTGGCTCCCTATGCCCATTATTGCCAGTTTGTTTCCGCTGCCATATCGTGGGCAGCGTTAAGTAGTGCTTTGCTTTTTAGGTGTGCTCGGGTGGAACAGCGAGTTCGGGGACGTGTTTCTTTTTCCTCTGTAGTGATTTCTTTTGCGTGTTTTGTGTGAAACAAATGATAGTCACCGCCAATGAATAAAAAGGCTGTCCCAGCACCACACAGCCCTATAGGGTGAGCGAAAAACAGCGTTCGTCATCGACATGTGGTTGGACCGCTTGATAACGTGGAACACCCGTTTAGAAAACTTCTCGTCTTGAAGTGGTATGGTCTTCTCGAACCAACGCGTCTGGCGAGAGAAGAACCACCATTCTCTGTCTACGCTGCGTTTGGTCTCTGCGTCCATGGTCGTGATTCAATTGTTTACGAGCAGCACCTCTTCTTCGAAAGACGTCAGCTTCCGCCTTCGCCGCTTCAATGCCAGCATCAAGCTGCATGATCACACTCGTGTAAAGAAACCATTGCAGCCTTCTCATCGCGAAATTCGGTTCTGTGGTTGCTCAAGATGGCACAAGCTTCCAAAGCAAGTCACGGTGGCCTCCAAAACGTGTAAACATAAACCACACTACCAATACACAGCCACAAAACGGTAACGCCATTTGCTCTTGCAATGACAACAATGCCAAAGTATCGCTGCCTAATAACATAAAAGCCAAACATTCAATATTAGGTATGCATAAACACTTCATTGAAATGTTCATACAAAAATAAGAGACGCTTGTGGTCTTTTAGGTGCATATAATTTTTTCACTTACTATAACATGAACCCTGACACAAACACCGGAGTAATCGCTGAACGAGCTCTTTAACGCTATCGCATTAAAATCGCTATAAAAACTGCGGATACGTGCGGCTGGAACACGAACCTTCCAGGAGGGCGTCAGCACCTCCTAAAAGTGGCACATACTCCTCCCAACATCTCTGGTAGTACCTGTCAAGGGGAATAACTAGATAGAACCAGATGTAACTCGATGCAAATGACCCGTAACTAAACAGGCGTAACAAGCAGAAAGTTGATAAAGCGCAAACCTAAGGTAGCCTGCCTGTCACACACTGAGTTAGTGAAGCTGCCTAATAAAATTTTCTCATATTCCTCAAAGCTATGCGCTTGATTTTCCCACGTGCTTCAAACCACGTGCTTACTTCAACCAGTGACGTCATCGACGGTTTCGTGAAAAGAGCAGTGGGAGCTCTGCGAACGGGAATTGCTGGGAGCCTGCGCTTTTCATGTTCACATTGGTGACGCTGAAATTTGCGCAGGCTTTATAACTACATAATTCACAGGTGTAGTTTTGTTTTTAATTTTCAACTTTGCTCTCATCAAGGCCAAGTCCTTTCAGTACTCGGCAAATTCAAATACGTCTTCTGGGAGCTATGTTTACACGCGACTCTGGTGCACTGCCTACGACTGTGTTGAGTGGTGCGTGTTTGAATAGTGCGCGTTCAAATTGGGCGCCATCAGAAACTGCGCAACATAAAAAATTGAAGAGCGCGCGTGAATGGTAGCCTAAGCAAGGACGACATCGAAGCAAGGTCAACCACGAGAGAGCGCTGTGCAAACGATCAACGTGCAGATGACCCAATAGAAAACCAGTACGAAGATTCCAGCGACCAATTGCAAATAACCAAAAAACTCTCAGCATCGCTAATTAGAACAGGACAAGTGGGCCAGAGTTCAAGATATATCCTAAGCCGAAGAACAAGAGAGTTCGAATAAGACGTGGTGAGCGGAACGACTATGCTAGGGTCTTGAACTTAGTTCTGTACGCTGACAGAACTATTTTACCACATCCGCTGAATGTTTTGCTAAATGTGTACTTCTTTGTAAATAGCATTCGCTTTAGTTCTTTATTAAAGTTTATGTGGGTGTTTGTTGAGCCGACGGCTTTGTCATCGTAAAGCTCTCAGTGGCTCAGCCTTAGACAATAACCACCGACTATTAAAAAAAGAGAACCTGAATCACAAAGACCAAATTCGAATTCACTGCATTCAGGTAGTAATTACTGTTAACTATTATTATATAGCTGCAATGCTGTGCTAACTATCAAAGCAAGTGACCAGCCGACCCGACAAGCACACGTGATTCGCGAAAAACGAGCGAAATTGACATCGGCGAAATTCTGGTGCATTGCCTACGAGAAAAGTAGCTGTATTGAGGTAGCAAGCACTGTTGTAAACTATTTATAAATAGTCGGAATACTGTGGTAATTAGCAAAGTGACTTCGCGCATGTAAGTTACATGTAAGTAGCATTTTAGCGTGTAAGTTACACGGAAATGTAAAGGATTTTCTCAGGTTAGGCTGAAGCATTGTAAGAGAAATGTCAAAAAGTTTCTATGTCAAGAAAGTTTCGCTGTTAGGGGTTTTTCCGCCATCTGATGAATTTTACAAGAATACGCAAGCGTACCTCTAACAGAAGGTTTGAAAATATATTAATATACTTTAGTGATAATTAAAATGGTTCAGTTTATAACTTGATTTCAACTATGAATCAAGTTGAAATCAAGAAGAAATGCACATGAACCGGGTACGTAGCACGTAGGCAGGATAACCGCTGGTCATTAAAGGAGCCCTGAAACAATTTTTCGAGTAGCCATAGAATTAGTTCACTGGCAAAGCGTCTTGACCTACAACTTCATAGAGGCAAAAGATTCAGGAATCCGTCCAGTACGAGTGGATTTACAAAGATATGTTGGGCGCTGCAATCGCATTCTCTCTTTTTTCGTCCCGACGAAAGCGCTGGAAGCGAAGCGAGGTGAAATGGGAGGGGTAAACAAAGAACGCGACGTGCGCCTCATGTCCTTGAGTATTATTCTTTTCTTCGAATGCGCGGCTTTCTCAGTGTGATCGCACGTGCACGCGTGGACAAGTCGCGGCCTAGCGCAATAATCTATTTAACGACCGAGCACGCCACGTTCAAATCAGCCAATGGCTTATAGATGGGCTTAGTACGAGAGATTTTCGGGCCGATTCAGTGGTTTGTCGAGAGAAAGAAAAAGCAATTTTTAGCTGAATTGATAATTTCTTGCAAACTCCAGGCCGCCTGCTCCACTATAATATTCGGCTCGCGTGTTGTGGCAAGCCTCTACTACCGATCGGCAGCGTTTTCTGACCATGCTCAAAAATTGTTTCAGGGCCCCTTTAAGGGCAACTGACTGGATTCCCAGAAAAGGCAAACGCACGAAGGGTAGACAGAAAGTTAGGTGGGCCGATGATATCAAAAAAGGTCGCTGGTATAACGTGCGAACGGAAATCACAAGACTGGGTTCGTTCGCAGATCATAGAAAACGCATTTGCCATGCAGTGGGCGTAGTGTGGCTCATGATGATGATGAGTTTAAAACATATAGAGAATAAATTTCATCCCATCCACAAGCCTATTTATGACATATAGTAAAATGTCCATTTGTTAAAGATGTTACCACTAAGCCTTTGTAATGCCTATGACCCTGACGGTATAACAAAATCGATGAATATTAAATGTGTTGTGATGAACCCGTCTGAGACAGATTGCACGTGTTTTCGATTTCTTTCTTTTTGCAAACTTAAACAAGAACTTACTTGAGTTGAAACTGACAGGTGAGTCGGGTGGTGAACATGACTTGAATATTATCCATAAGCCTTGAAAAGGCACCTGCTCCTCGCGGTGAGGCAGGCTCTTGAGGTGCTTGTACGTTTTCCACTGTACCCTTCGGGCAATCCAGGTGAGCACTCCGGCCAATAGGAGAGCACCAACGACAGTCAGTGCAGTGCCCTTTAAAAAGCGCGAGGCAAGTACAAGGGCGCCGCTTGGCGAGAGTAATTGGAACATCACTGGTGTGTCAGCTGCAAAGTATGCGAAGAAATCATCAAAATTGATTCACAATTGAGGTGGAGCATATACACTTTTCTATCGAGCTGCGTTCGTTCAAGAACGTCCAGGAAAATGGGTCATATTCTGTGATTCGAAGGCAGCGCTTCAAAGTTTGCAGTCTACCATGCATAGGAGGAGTAAAGAACAATTGGTACAAGAAATAAGACATTGCCATCATGAAGCTCTAGCACGAGGGCATGATATTATATATCAATGGCTGCCTGGACATATTGGTATTACCGGAAATCAATTAGCCGATGAAGCAGCCCGCTCAGCCCATGAAGGAACCCGTGTAGTCCCGATTCCTCTATCAAGGAATGATGCAGCAAGACAACTTTACCTGCTCGCTCGAGATCTCAGACGCACGTTCTGGTCGTCTACCAGCTTCCAAAGGTGTCAATTTTATGAACTGGATCCGTCGCTCAAGCTAAAGCTACCATCACAACTTTCCCGCTCTGATGCGACACTGTTATGCCGCCTTTGGTTGGGTGTTGCATTTACAAAGGTGTACTCCTTTCGTATTGGTATGGCAGACACTCCTACATGCGACTACTGCGGAGCTGAAGAGACCATCGAACACGTCCTGTGCAGCTGCGCTTGCTACGACACACAGCGATGTCAGCTTCCGGATGGTTTTGAATCAACTTGACCCCGGACCATTTTGTGTGCAGAAGATACTAGGACCTTGGGCATCTGCCTCAGTTGCGCAGAAAGCTACTAAAGCACTACTACTTTACTTAAAGTCAACGAACCTGAGCGACCGCCTGTAGACTGTGTGTGCTCCCCGAGTGTGCTCGTGATTGCGTGTACCTTCTCATCTCTCTGCAACCTTTTTTCTCCCCTTCATCCCTTCCCCAGTGCAGGGTAGCAAACCGGATGTGCGTCTGGTTAACCTCCCTGCCTTTCCTTGCATCTTTATCTCTCTCCTCTCTCTCTCTCTCTCTCTCTGCGTTCGTGTCAGCCAGAAAGCACTGCACCACACAGAGCACATGCACCGATAATGCAAAACTCTTACTAATTGGCTCCCTCATTGCCCGAGTTCTCACAAGCAGAAAATGGCGGCACTGTATGTGACGACTGCTGGTAGTTCACGAAACCACATCCTTTGCAACATTGAAAGAACATTTAGAAAATGCATCTTTCCCATTTATATTTCAAGCTACACAATACTCAACAAGTACGACCATCCTGTTCAACGACTTTCAGTTGGTTTACATGGTGCAGTTTGAAAACTTTGGCGTTTATCTTCGAGTATTTACGGACCCATAAGGTTGCACCGATGGCAAAGGCGCCTATGGAGCTCTCTCTTTCTCTTCGGCTAACACGAGACGGGTGTTTCAAATAGCACATCCATCTTCATCAACCGCGGCGAAACTATCAGCGATTGATATAGTTTTGAAGTATGTGCAAAAAGAATTACAAGAATCGATTGTTGTCATTCTCACACATTCCCCTGCTGCCTAGGGCGAAATGCAAAGAGATTCCGATGGCACAGAAACATGCAGACTGCCACAAAAGTTATTTCTTCTAGAGCATTCCTCGTTTGCGAGGGAGCACCTTGGCATGGTGCTTCTGCTGTGAATGAAGATGCCAATAATCTCGCTTCAAGCTGGACTTAAAACGAGAGTGACACAATGACGCTCATCTGCTCATCCGTCGACACCTCCAAAGCAGCACCCATCCCGACTTGTCGCAAGCTGATCCTTCCATCTCCAAATTCGTGATCGCGTATTTCCTCGAGGTGACAGAGCCCTCTTACCGTCATCACCATCCTCTTATCTAAGCTCTTAAGGACCGTAAACAGCACCTTTCATAAGAAGGGGAGGGCGGGTTTTAAAGCTGAAATGACGTAAAATTGAGCTACGAGTTATATAAGCCATGAGTTCGCTCTCTGCACGAAAATTTGTATCGGCTAGCATAAGTGGACAAGGCCTGTGTGAAACACCTCATTTTAGAAAGTCCCAAGTTCGTGCACTGCTCATAAAAATATGGCCTCATTGAAATTAAGTGCACAATCTTTGATCGCCTGTTCTAGGCAGGATGTGCTGCTCGGCGGGACCAAGTTTATTGAGCCTTGCTAACTTTATTGTGGAAAAGCAGTTTCGCTTCCCGTTTGTAGAAATTTTCCCATTTGGCTACTTAACTGTTCCCCCTTCTGTGTTACTTGTTTTTTAAACGATTTTATTTCTTGGAGACCTCCGACGCAAAAATTTTGGTCTGTCTGTACATTTGTCTGTTTGTCTGCTCTTAACGATACCTTAAACGAACCCAAACGATACTTCAATTGGCCGACCCCATCCGCAGCGCCCACCAATATTGTTCAAGGTTTAGCGTTCATATTTGTGCGATTGTCAATTAAAAAGCAATTATGGCACATATCTGAGGCACCAAACAGCCCGTGTCTTTTTTATAGAAAAATAATACATCAGTAATTCTAAGGACCGTAGCGTTTTTCACGCTGCGCTGACGAAGCAACATTTGCACAAAAACGCAAGTATTTCCAACACTTTCCTACGACGACCTGGTGGTGGCCCCTACCTGTCACCTTGCGTGCTACACCTTATCGCCTCCGAGATAGGCGCACACGCCGCGCGCTTCGTTTTCCAAGATAACTGCCAGATAGCGCTCATGTCTCACGTGTGACGTGACTTGAAGCGCACGTTCGCCTCCGCTGCACGCTTGAGTCACTCTAGCGCAGCGCCTCCAGAATGCCATTCACCGATTTTCGTGCACAGAACATCAAATAAACGTTTTTATTCACTCTCTCCGGACGCAAGACTGTCGTCTTCCGACGACATTTGCAGTGTAACACGCAGAGACAGGCCCAATTTTTCACGCCTCTTTTTTTTTTCTTTTTTTCTTTCCTGCTATCTTTCATTCCTGCGAAAAACAGGCAGGTGCTGCACCTCTTGGGTGGCAGTTGTCGGCCTGTGTTCTCCCGGGTGCGTGCATGTTGAGTGTGTGTTTTTGAAACTAGATAAAAACTGGGGTGTCCTCGATTCACGCAGCTACTACAAAGCTGTCCGAATACACTGAGACGAGTGACTGCGATCGCACATGGTAATGAGCATGTGCTTCTCTCTGGCCCAGTATAGCATAGCATTATGGCGCAAAGAATTCTGCAAGCGTGCTTTGTGTTCAATGTCTGCGCCAGCTGCAACTTACAACGGTGAATGATCGAATTGGATGCTGACATCCCTAGGTTATTGCTTGAAATCACCTTGGAATAGATGGGAACTCATCATGGAGAACCATCCAGAAGGGCAAAGACAAGTTGAATTGATGATGTTTTGGCAAGGCGTTTGGCAACAACAGGAATTGATTCAACCTCAGTCCTTCGATCACAAAGCCACTGTTAGCCTCAGTGGGGCTTTATGTTATCTAGAGCGAAGCTCTCCAGAACCACTGTATGATTATAAAGAATGCCGTAGTGGAGGGCTCCGGAAATTTCGTACCACCAGGTCTTCTTTAACACCCACCTAAAATCTAAGCACACGGGTCTCGAGCATTTCCACCTACATCGAAAGTACCGCCAACGTGGCCGGGATTCCATCTTGCTACTTTCGGGTCTGCATCGAGCACTATCACCACGAGACAACCATGGCGGGGCGCTCAATGAGACTTTGATAGCAAGAATTGACCACATTTATCTGAATTATAGAGGTTGGGCTTGGCTCACTCATAGGCGACTCAGTTTTGAAATGCTGTATTCTTTACTAACACTACTTAAACTTCGTTATATAGAGCTATTCAGACTTGACATGAACTGCCTCAGCGTGCAATCCACTTTTGAAGCATTCTTCGTAACTTCACCCACGGCAGCGTCAAATGAGCACTGCCACTACTGGTTGTCGTGACCATTACGTTATTTTCATGTACACAGTGTCTGGGAACAGTCAATGAAGCGAACAAAAGCGTGGCCGTGTGGCAGAACTACCGCTTGCTGCGCAAAAGACCCTGGTTCGATCCCCTACTCAAACCAATGATTCTTAATTATTAATTTATTTTTTTTTGCTTCTGCTTCATTTTTTGGGCACGCAAATATGACGATTTTTCGCTCACAACCAACAATTCTGACAGCGAAATTTCTGCGACTCCAGCTCTTTAACGCTATTGCGTTAATAATTATTGCGGTTTAACGTTCAAAATGCCCATGATTATGAGTGAGAGGCACCGTACTAAAGGGTTTCGCAAAATTCTGTATTAAAAGCACCGTATTAAAGGGTTTCGCCGTATTAAAGGCACCGGTATTAAAGGGAGGCACCGTATTAAAGGGTTTCGCCGCAGCCGGGATTCGATCCCGCGACCTTAATCCCGGCTGCGGCGGCTGCATTTCCGATGGAGGCGGAAATGTTGTAGGCACGTGTGCTCAGATTTGGGTGCACGTTAAAGAACCCCAGGTGATCGAAATTTCCGGAGCCCTCCACTACGGCGTCTCTCATAATCATATAGTGGTTTTGGGACGTTAAACCCCACATATCAATCAATAGTGTTCTTCAACTTGCGCCCACACCTAAGCTCACGGGACTCAAGCATTTACGACTCCGTCGATAATGCAGCTACTGCAATTCTTAAAATATTGCACGTGTCATCTTAGAGCACCCACCGCAGGACACCTCAGTGAGTAGAATTCTAATACTGAAATTATTATATGGATGTTTACGTCCCGAAATCACGATATTATGAATCTCAGGGCCCCCATAGTGGAGGGCTCCTGAAATCAACACGAGCTGGTGTTCTTTAACGCTTACAGATATCGGACAGTATTGGAACCTCAACTATTTCGCCTCCACCGAACTTCAACCACAGCAACCGAGAACCAACCTGCGAGGTCCAGGTCGGATGCCAAGCACCATAGTCAGTACTATACAGTGGTAGAGGCAGCGATATTCTGGTGTATTCGAACACGTCAACTCATCACGCATTTGAACCCAGCCACGACAACCACAATATGATAGAGGCAATGGTTTCATCGAGGAAGTGGGTGGGGCCGTACCAGTAGCGTTCGCGAGTTCACGCATTTCACCACGCATTGTTTCCTACTTCACTCCTACGCAACTGAACACCTCGTCCGTGACCGCTTAAAGGTCAAGACATACACAATCTGGTTGACACCACTCGCTGTCCCTAAAATCACTACAGTGCAAATTCGCAGTGAGTTACTCAGTAACAGTGAAGTAATGCAGTTAAATTCTTGAACGCTATAAATATTTCAATAAAGTGCACAAAGTTTATGCAACAATACAAGTGACTCCTGTTAGAAGTACAAGAAACGGTACAAGAAAGATATCAAGCATCTGCACCGTACGTAAAATTGTTGCGATGTTCGCGAGTTGTCTGAGAAAAGCGATATACTGCCAATCTACAGTAGCATTCACACCGATGTATATTAATTTTGCTGAGATGATATATCTCAGTAAATTCAGTTTCCCAGAAAAAAAAACATCAATTTTAATCGCTAAGCCCGTGTTGCGAAAACAGACATGCTAGTTTTTGAAATCCCACACATTTCTAAAGATATGTATATGTATAACAGTATAACTTAAAATCATTTACGGCTGTTGTCCGTTGTCAAAGAAATATTTGTAATGTGACAAACGTCATCAAAATATTGCAAGAAAGCTCGAGCCAAACAAACCCTTTACATCGTAGAACTACGCTCGCATAAGGTTAGACATGAACGTAACAAGGCAATGCAATTAAACACGCTTTGTGATAGCATGCAGGTGGGTATTTGAAGCACGTGCCAGCAATATTGTGTCCCTCTTTTTTTTCCCGTTTATGACCTTGCACCACAACTTTCGAATATCCATGTAGCTGTGAATGCGAGCCTACAGGCCTTTTTTATTTTAGAAAGGGATATATATACTTTATGTTTCTGTTTAAAAAAACAGAAGCGGCGAAAAAAACTAAAAAATATGCTTGCTTTTTGACATTCACTAAAGGAAAAAGAGACGAGCACCATTTGCAGTTCAATACTTTTCTCACAGCGACCAAGTAAGTGTCGGTGAAATATCCAAAGGCTTCAGCTCTTACCTGTAACGGCAAAGTCTGAGGAACAGCTGAAAGCGTATCCTTTATTGTTTGCTCGCTTCGTTGACTGCCTGTTCGGAGATGATCACCTTCGCTTTATGGCAGGTTGTTTCGTCATCCGATGGGAGGTCATTTTACCGCTACCGTGAAAGCTACGCCAACACGGCACGTGCAAGAGAGCGACGTATTTACAATGGCGTCCTTGAAGAGAACCTTCCTCGGAGCGTAGTGGTGGGCATTCTCATTCTACCCTTTCCCTTCAAAAACTACCGTCCTTTGGTCGCGCAGATGAAGAGCGGGATGGCTGATTGATTTGACCGTCGTGGAGTGTGTGAAGTGGCGTGGGATGACGACAACGCTTTGCCGCGGGAATGCTTTCGGAGCACACTCGTCCTCTCTGGTGTTGTTGGCTTTTGGACAAGAGCTTCCATAAGAAGAAAGTGCGATCACGATACAAGCGGCCATTCATTCATTCATTCACTCATTCCCTAATATCAAGTTTCGACAGTGCGTGAAAATACGTAACACCAATTCAACCCAATCACACCAGCTAGAAGTGCTTCTAAATCAAAAAGCACCTAAACTAACAGAATTTTTATAGAGCAGGTATTTCACAAGTATACTCCCGCCGTTTGAAAAAGAAGAAAGAAAATTTGGCATAAATTTGTAAATACTAACATGCTAATAATGGCAAATTGTGGTGTGGTGCAGTACTCTGCACACATAAATGTACTGTATGCATACTATACATAAAAAACAGAAGAAAAAAACTGGTGAATGGCCAAGCATGCAGAGGTACATGTGAATAAACCATAATATATATAAACATATAATCAATTTGTAAGGAATCAGAGGCAACAGGAAGACTGTGCCTTAGTGTTATATTTGTATCATGAAGACGAGCGCGAAAAATTATTAAAGTCGGTGCTAAGCCTCCTGTGCGTATAGTGTTGTTTAAAACCTGCAACCCGCTTTCGCCGTATGATAAACCTGATGATACGTATATGAACTGTCGCCCCGACACAGCTGAATTGGCACCCAATTGAAGACGACGACAACGTGGTTGTTGTGGGTTGGACTCTCGAGCTTCTCCCGTTGGCCTGCATTACTGTGCGCTCTTTAGGCCGTTAGCAAGACCAGGTCTCGGTGAATAATCTTCCCCGTGGCAATAATATACAACAAAGAAACCAAAAATGGTCAGCCGTATAGCTTCGCGGTGATGCACAAACCACATTGCCGTCTGCAGGAAACGAAAAAAAGAACAAAGAGACAGAGATGGTTTACAAGTTCAGTATTACCGATGTGTACGCTCTATTGCCAAAGACATTCTGCAAAAAATCAAGCACAAAAAACATTTGTACAAAAAGTTCATCACTAGTCGAATCCTAACGCATTCAAAGAATTTAAGTCCGTCCAAAACCACATAGTCAACGTTGTTAGAAAGGCTAAAATTAGCTACTATAGTAAGTTATATTCTTAAGATATCAAACGATCTAAGCTAACGTGCAAGAAAACAAATCACGTACTTGGCCACTCCCGAAACTGTCAACAAACTACAACCATTAATTATGAAAGTCAAGCTGTAGTCAGGCTCACCAGTGGCCAATCTTTTCAACAATTTTTATATACAACAATTTTCTGACACGCGTTCAGAATGTTACGATTCAGGCAACATAGATTTATACTTCAATGCGACATCTGTTTTTTCATCTCCTACCAGCGTGCAGGAGGTGCGCAGTGCCATCCTAAATTCAAACAATAGTAGCACTTGCGATGTCGATAGCTGCAAATTAGACCTGTTAAACATGTTGTAGACTTATTCACGTTTCCGCTGACACATATAATTAACTTAACCTTGTCCAGTGGAACATTTCCCCAGAGAATGCAAATTTCGAAAGTTGTCTTGTTTTTAGAAGTGGGGAAAAAATGTCTTTAAGAACTATCGGCCTATTTCAATTCTGCCACTTTTTTCTAAAATCATCGAGAAACTTTTGCACCTTAGGCTATCCAGTTATCTTTCTAAACACTCGTTACTTGGCCACATTCAACATGGTTTCAGAAAACACTGCTCTACCGAAACTGCATTAAAACAAAAAGAAATAATATTACATAATTTCTCGAATCACTGGTTAACTTAGGAATTTTTATTGACTTATCAAAGGCATTTGATTCATAAAGTCATAGAATTTCGCTCAGTGTAAGTTGCATTCCTACGGTATAAACGGCATTGCTCATAACCTCATGTCGTCTTATTCAAGCCACCGAAAACAGTATGTTTCCCTTAGTGACTCTGAACTTAAGTGGATTAAGGCTGAGGTCCCCAAGAGAAGGATACTAGGGCCTCTGCTGTTCTCCATATATGTGAATGACTTGCAGTACACTGTCTAACACCCTCGAATATCCCTTATTTGCTACGCAGATGGCACAACCCTGTTAGTGACTAGTAAGAAAACCGAAGATATAGAAAAAATTTGCGCAGATGTTTTACCACTTCTACTTTCCTGGACTGAGAAAAATTCTCTGGTAATCAATACTCAAAAGACTAAAGCAGTACTGTTCCGACCGAAAAATACCACAGCTGTTCTGCCTCACGTCTGCCTTTCTCAATGCAAAATAGAAATAGTTGAATGTGTGAAGCTGTTCAGGAGTGTACTTTTCGAGTAATCTCACGTGGAATTACCATGTCAGTGAAGTACACAAAAACTTTGCAAAACAATTGGCCTCAACAATAAAAATACATACCTACTGCCTGAGGGCATAAAGCTCTTGTTATACAATTCTTTAATCTCCCCTCAGCTTGGTTACGCACACCTAATCTGGGGAACAACAACAAAAAAGAATAATAACAAGTTGTTACTTTCACAGAAAAGGGCAACGAGAATGGTAGCAAATGCTTGTTTTTATTCTCACACCCAGGAATTGTTTCATCGGTAACGAATAATGACCGTAAATCATCTTTACAACTACCGTTTGACGCTGTCTTACTGAGTGGCAAATAAGAAGAATAACTCATTTATAATGACCTATTGATGCTACAAAAGAAATCTCACTGGCACGATACACGTTTCCCAGAAACGTGGTGTGTTTTAACGCCGCGGAATAACTATGCTTTTCATTCGATAACTTATACACTTCCCCATCTATTGAATAAATTTACAGATAACGCTATTGATATATATCGCCTGCCAAATAACCGTTTGCAAAGCGCATTTTTGTCACCTAACTGTGTTATTTCTGAAATTTGATATATGCCGCCCACCAAACAACCGCTAACTAAGCGTATTTTCTGCCGCCTGACTATGTTATTTCTAATGGTGTGCGATCCGTATATTGTTATTATTTGTGTTGATGTACACTTTTGAAATGAATTTGACCATGAACTGTCTCATCTTAGAGGACGTTTTGATTGTAGGTATCAGTGTTTCTTGGTGGTGTTGATATTTTGGTATTTTCGTGGGTTATTCGCGATCATCTCTGCGTACTATACTACTATTCCTGTTTATTTTGTGCCATTCATGAATCTGTGAATCTTTGGTGTGTTTTCCAAAGCTGTCAATTGCGGGGCGTCCACCTTGTCAAGCTACTTCTCACAGATTTTTGCGGCCGCTCCATTCTATTATGGGAAAGAAAAATAAAGACTTGATTTATTTGATTTATACAGAGGCAGATGAGGCTTGCGCAGTAGTCATGCGTTTAACGGCATTTCTGGCCATGTTGCGCCTTGTCAAGCGCGTTAATGACCACAACACAACTTGGAAAATGTCAACGTGGCAATTTTTCAGAAATATTAACATCAGAGTATGCATTGCCTTTTTTTCATCTCTGTTGCGGATGTAACCACCAGGATTAAGTTGTTTCAAAAAGTGGCACAACGCTGTCGCACATGGACGAGAAAGAGACGACCACATGAGCGCTGATTTTTAATTAACTGTTTATAAACAATCACTTTAAAGTTATTACGTGTTCGGACCAGAAAAAGATGACAGCACAAGCTATAATTTTCGACTGATTGCTTCTAAACAAGCAGCTGAATGTTAGCGCTTGTGCTGTCGTCTCTTTGTCTTCTGTGTGGGTTAGCGCTATGCCCCTTCTCGAACCAAGTAGCACAGAGAGCTACGTTGACAAACTGTTCTTGCTGTTTCTCAAATAGAAGTGTTTCTCATTTCTCTCGCCAGGAACGCCGAGCATCGTGTGAGCCGTCGTATCGCCTATCACTGCCTTGGTGCTGCCATCATCACAAGACACTGTAACTGTAGCCTTTCATGCTCGTGTTGTCTCAGTCAAATGGTCTTTAGTGAGCTTTGTGTCTAGCTTTCATTTGAGCGATTGTTTTATTTTTTTAATCGACGAACCAGTTTCAAGACAAGCATGCAGCGTATGCAAGTTTGTCTGGTGTTACGCAGATTGTGTTACTGAGTGGGTGAAAAAATACACAGAAGTTAGATTAATATTGATGATTAAGGTGATGCCATAAAACAGGATGAACCACATTTCAGATGAGGGGCCGAGTTGCACGGGGCCGATCAAAGCGGGGACGCACGTGAAGTAAAGCACAACATGTTTTACTAATACAAATGAATATTCGGCGAGTTATCATTGTGCTATACACCGCTGGAACTTAAATCATGTTTCTTTTCAGCATGCACTTCCCAAAGGTTGTGATTTAACAACATAGGTTCGAAGCAGGAAAAATAATCTTTAAATTCGTCTTCCGCGACTTAACATTCTTAGCCAACTTGCCGACGTCTGCATGAACGTTGCTGACCGACAGACACAGAAAGTCGGGGAGGTGTCCGTCGCTTTTTTGAGAAGTATTCATCAGCTAGTTAAAAAGGTGAGGGTTGACGTCGTGCTGCGAGCCGCATCATACTGCCCTGTGGGATGCATGTAGCCACTTGGCCGCTGGTTGCCGACACCAGTTCTAATTTTTACTAAGATGTCCTTACATGCATCGGCAACAATTTTCGTAATGTTAAAGGGCTGAACATATTATTCCGAAGCTGCGAGAGCTTTCAAACCGAAATGAACCAAATGAGCCCAAACAGGCATGCGCTCTTTACATCC